TATATATATATATAATACAATTTTTTTATTATGGCTGCACGATAAATCGAAATAAATATGGCTAAATGCGATAGTATTATCACGAAGGCTGCCATTACCGCTAACAGAGGCCAGAGACGCTAAACGCAAAGAGGACGTGCAAAATATTAGAAGAAAATCCTAAATAGTAAATTGGGGATGAGATTTATATGAATGTATCTGAATATTCATCAGAAAAGTTTAGATGGCAATTTTTTTCATCTTACCTCCGTATAATGCTCATTAAAAATGTTTTTGTTTACAGCGGTAACTAAGGAAACGCTATATTGCCGTTGTTCCATAAGCCCTGCTTTGTTTACAGCGGTAACTAAGGAAACGCTAGGGGGAAGTCGTGGCCTAATGGTTAGAGAGTCAGACTCGTAACCCAAAGGATGCGGGTTTGAGTCTCGTACCAGCAGGGATTGTAGGTGGGGGGAGTGAATGTACAGCGCTCTCTCCCACCTTCAATACCACGACTGAGGTGCCCTTGAGCAAGGCACAGAACCCCCAACTGCTCCCTGGGGCCGCAGCATAAATGGCTGCCCACTGCTCCGGGTGTGTGTTCATTGCTGTGTGTGTGCTGTGCACTTTGGATGGGTTAAATGCAGAGCACTAATTCCAAGTATGGGTCACCATACTTGGCCACATGTCACGTCACTTTTTCACGTCACTATATTGCCGTTGTTCCATAAGCCCTGCTTTGTTTACAGCGGTAACTAAGGAAACGCTATATTGCCTTTGTTCCATAAGCGCCACCTGCTGTCAGAGAGTGAGTCTGCGATCTCATTCATCCCGTCTGCTGTTTTTGTTTCGTGCAGATTTTTTATGTAGCATAATTTTACAAAGCTAAAGTCAGACTATTCTGATTTTGCTTAAAATGTAGAAATTATACAGTCTAATTTAAATCAAAAACTGCTCTTGCTACATGTATGTAGCATCTTTGTTTGGATCATAGTCCAGATTTGGCCTATTACAGTTCAACCTGTAATAGAGCAAATAAACATCTTGTTCATGTACACATATTTTCATTCTTTCTTGTCTCTTTCTTAATTGCTAATTTTAAGAATGTTTGAAACGAAGTATTGCAATTTTACTTTAATTTAATTTTAATTTTTAATTTGAATGTAATAAAATTAGATTAAATATTGCAGTGTAGGCAGGCCCGGATTGGCTAATCGGGAGCACCAGGAGAATTCCCGGTGGGCCGGTCTGTGTTTTGGCCGTCATAACGCAATTGGTCCCGTATTCGCAGGCACGCCATGTGACCACCAGAGACAGACCATATTAATAACAAATTCTCAATTGATAATTAATCATTCTTTGTGCGCAAATTGTTTTATTTGTGAACGTAGCCGCTCAAGGAAGGCTTTAAGACCAAGCGGAATCCTCTGCCGGCTGCTCCCGCTTCACAGCAAACGAGACTCGCTCTAACGCCAATTCCCTTCACCGTCTGCATTTTGATTTTGGCAAATCAGTTTGGGCGAATGCAACTTATTGATCATGAGCCCAACATCCAGCAAGGCAGGAAAACATTCAATCTACCTGAGGAAAGACGTCTTTCACTATTGTAAGTTAATGCTGTTAAATAGAGAGAGAGAAATACATTTAAAAAAAAATTAGCTTCAAGCGCATTCTTAAACTTGGTCCTCAGTATATTATTGAAGTACAAATCCAAGCACTAGAAGTAGGCCGCAATCTCTTAAATTTTCTTTAATTGAAAAATATATATTTTCATTCATTCATAGGCTAGCCTATATGGTTGCAATAATATTTTAGTTCAAAAATTCAAGTGTCATTGTTTAAAAAAAAAAAAATGCTTTATTGACTGACGTTTCATAGACCTTCAGTTGTTATGCTTTCAAATTTCATGCAATTGTATGTAATTTCACAGTATTTTCACCTCCTAAATTCGTAGGCCTACACTACTTTTCAGTCACAATTCTTTAATAGTACAATTTACTCAGGCCGATTACTTTTTTTTTTTTGTATGACATTAAAATAATTTTTAGAATAAATGTACATAAATAGGTTAAGCAAAACAAATGTGATTATTTTTGAGAACTTTTGAACTGCAGGCAGACATACATTATGGTACAGTACAAATATTTTGAGCGTCCCTTATTCTGTCCCTTATTTTCTTATTAAGAATCACAATTGTCCCTTATTTTCCATTTGCGGCACCTTGCAAAGAAAAAAAAAAAACTCAGTTGCTGGAGATATGCGAGCAAAAGATTATAGATAAAAAATGGATAAAATGCAAAGACAGCGCTGAAAAGGCCAGTATATATATATATATATATATATATATATAAACAAAAGCTCTAGAAAAATACAATGAACAATGCACTATTGCAGACTTATATACTGAGGTTTTAATTATTTTAATAACTCAGTTGTAAACTAAAGTGGGCCGGTCTAAGGCATGAAACTCCAGGGCTGAAAATGAGTCCCACTCCGGCCCTGAGTGTAGGCTTATACCTTTGGAGGATAACAGTAAAATTCTCTAATTTAAATAACTAGGCAGCTGACTTAATGTCAGTTTTTCGTGCAATAGTCTTATTTATATTGTATCATTTGTTTTATGCCATAAAACTATGCAGTTTCTGTGTGAATGATCTCTGGTGCATTGGCTGTGATGCTAGGGCGATGCAGCTATCTTGCCTATAGGGCACCAAGCTGGTCAAGGCCAGCCCTGATTTGGAGTCTTTAACTCAAACCCTCTAGCACCACTAACTGTCCAAATTTGTACTTTGTTTATGTTATTAACCATAAGGTCTAGAAATAAAAATACATCTTTTTTTCTGATTTCTTTGGCTCAAGATGATTCGATTTGTACCCTAAGAGGTCATGTTGATGTCGTCAATTTTCCATCATGAAAATGTTCCCGCCATTTTGAATTTTTTGGAAAAACCTACTTTTTTCGAACTCCTCCTAGACCATTGGTCCATTTTTTGTAAAAAATAAAACCAGATCATCTTCAGACCATAATGCCAAAAAGTTGTCAAATTCAAGTTGATCAAATAACGTGTGAACAAATTTCACAAAGAGCTTGCCAAACTGAATGTGAGGCTATATCTCCGCAGTGCTGTAGCCAATTCAGACCAAACTTGGTGTTATGACAACCATGACCTAAGGGTAACTGCACAGCCTGGTACCCAGCTATTTAACACTACTTTTTGTCACATCAAATTGTGGCTCATTATTATTATTAATAATAATACAAAAGGCTATACAATAACTTTTATTAACAGAACGAATAAGAAATACCCGCGTTGTAACAAATAGGCCTAGCCTAAATAAAAGTTTTTTGGATTTCCCCTTACTTCAAACGAATGCTTAGTTTGTGGCCCATTATTATTAATAATAATAACAATAATAAAAGGCTATATAATAAACAACACAATGACAAATTCACTTATATTAAACTTTGAACTTTTATTAACAATATGAATAAGGAAAATATGTTTTACCCGCATTGTAACACAAATAAATAAACGGTCTTTGGATTTCCCCTTTCTTTAAAACGATCGTAGTTTGTGGTTCATTATTAGCCTATTAATTAAAACACATCAGCCATAAAATAGTACAATGGCAAATTCGCATAGGCCTATATTAAACATCTAACTTTTATTAACAAAATGAATAAGACGGATATACTTGCATTGTAACCCAAATAAATAGCCTAAGGTCTTTTCCCTCTTTTAAAACAAATACTTAGTTTGTGGTTCATTGTTTTATTTATTTATTTATTTATTTAGGCTATATTTAATGAAAACAGCAACAATAAAGACAACTCGCTTATATTAAACGAAGAAATTAAACTTTTATTAACAAAAGGTGCGCTTTTGGATCATAGTGTCTCGCAAGACTTTTATTTCTCAGCCCCCCCTGCTCAAAATACGTTGGCTATGCATCACACTGACCACACCACATTAATCTGGAAACAGTGCTACCTATTGGTCAAAAGTGATAAGCAATTAAACTACTAGTGATTGTATTTATGATTTTTCAGCCATTTTGACTAAAATCATATTAAAATGTCTTTAATTATTTATTGTTGCAGCTGGTCTGATGCTCCCTGCCATGCTTAGGTCCTCATTTTGCCTCTGTTGTGCTTGTCCCTAAATGCGGCTTGCAGCTATAATTACATTTTTTTTTTTTTTTTTTTTGACTGGAGACTCTAGTTAGAGATTCTACTTCTCAAAAGTAAAAAAGATTCTACAAAATTAGCTCAAACTTCAAGCCCATAATAAAAATAACTAAAAAAAAAAGCACTTTCTTTTTGGACCTGTCTGTCACAAACTCTAACCCATATATTTCAGCTTATTAAAATACAGTAATTTTTATAATCTTCTTCAATGTTGTTATTTGGACTTCTGAGGAAGAAAGGAATTACACTCTTAAAAATAAAGGTGCTTCAAAAGGTTCTTCAAGCGATGCATAGAAGAACCATTTTTGGTTCCACAAAGAACCATGCAGTCAAAGGTTCTTTAAAGAACCATCTCTTTCTTACCTTTTTGTAATCTGAAGAACATTCTTTCGCCACAAAGAACCTTTTGTGAAACAGAAAGGTTCTTCAGGTGTTAAAGGTTCTTTATGGAACCTTTTAGACAAAAAGGTTCTTCTATGGCATCGTGAAGCACCTTTATTTTTAAGAGTGTATGTTCAGAATTAGCCCAAAAAAAATGATAAAGTCTCAGTATAGAAGCGATTTCATCATTAACGACTAAATGTTATGTTCAACCATAAGGTAGACCGCATACAGTTGGAAAAGAGGAACAGTTGAAGCACCTTAAATAACTTGTGTGCACATCACTCAAACAGTAGAATCCCACTGCTTTAGATGTGTCACGAATCCGGTCCATGAACTTCCGTCTGCTCGCCACCAGAGGTCACTCTTCCACTACTATGGA